ATTGTGATGCCAGCCACCTTTTTTAACGATGTTGACTTCGCCGTCGTCTTCCCGAGCACGCTTGCCCCTGTAATCGTCACGGCGATTACGCCGCTGATTACGCTGGTCACGGTGGTCACGGGAATCGTTGCGCTGGTTGCGATGATCAAAATTGTCGTTCTGACCACGGTTGTCGCAGTAGTCGTCGCGGTGTGGAGGGTGGTCAGAGCGTGGAACCCTTGCTGCTTCTTCGACGATTATCTTTTTAGCATCATCGGCATCCGCATATTTTTTAGCAGTGGCTAGGAGTGCTGTGACCGATTCAGGTCTCTTGCGGAGGAGCTTATCCCTTAGGGCATCGTGGAAGCGGAGACCAGTGATGAAAGCCTCGATTGCCTCGTTGTCGGAGATTGACGGGACCTTGATGCGCATCTCCGAGAAGCGTCAGACGTACTCGCGCAGTGGCTCATCTTTGTGATCTCGAATCCACTGCATATCATATTTGTTGCCGGGTTGCTCGCAAGTAGCAATGAAGATGTCAATGAATGCTTGCTTGAGCTCTTGCCAAGAATCAAAGTAGTTCGCCAGCAAGCTGACCAGCCATTGGTGGCCTGCATGGCCGACGGCGACTGGGAAGTAATTAGACATGACATGCTCGTTAGCCATGGCTGATCTGCACGTGGTTTCATAGAGCATAACCCATAATTCGGGGTTCTCCTTGTCGTCGTACTTCTGAAGTTTTTCGAGCTTGAAGTTCTTGGGCCGTATCACTTGGCGAAGGTGTGGAGTAAACTGCTTCAAACCCGAAGGGCCATGGGTAGTATCATATTCCATACGGTGATAACTTTCGTGGGATGCACGATCGTTGGCTCTTTGGTTAATGCGATCGCGCAGATCGCGTTCTCCGAGGGAATGGTGGAGATCATTATTGCCATCACGGTGACCCCAATTGCCACCCTGGTTAACCCTGCGACCATGGTTATCACGGCGATTGTCGCGGTTGTCTCGGCGGTTGTCATCCCGGTAGTTGCGGCGGTTGTCGTCCCGACCACCATCATGACCACCGTTTCTGCCTTGACGGTTGTCTGATGGGTCGTTGTTGCGCGAGCCACATTGGTTGGGTGGCTGTGAACGACTTGAGTACTGGCGGTTGTAGCTTGATTCGACTGAGACGGATGGAGCTCGGGCTTGATTCACAATCTCTGCGGCCTGGGCCATAGCAGCCGTCAGGTAAGCTTGTATATCATCTCGAACTACCTAGATTTCCGGGGTATTGGGTAGTCGTTGCATTGTCACCATAGCAACAGCTACGTTGGCGCTTGGAGTCCTGAAGACCTATTTGTCCCCCACCCAATCAATGGCATTGTTAAGCTCGCGTGGCTGGACCCATACGCGTCATGCCTCCTCTTCCGCCTCGGCTTCGACTTGTCGGTGATTAAACCGATCAATATTGCGTGCTTCGCATGCCAGCCTTTCTTGTTCTGTTTCGCCAACTACCGGTGGTTTGTCGTTACTGACAACATTGATCAAGTCTCCTCGTCTTGGTGGGAAGGATGGGAATCGTGGGAACCCCAGGGCATGGTTTGGGATACCCAGATCGTATTCAACGCCTTCATTGTCATGATGCTGGAGCTCAATGTGGATGGAGCCATTAGATGCGGTGCTGGACGGGGAGCTTGAGCCACCCTCTTGAACTGTGTGGACCGATCCTTCTTGGTACTCCTCAATCCGAACCATGTTGACGAAGTTGCGTGGTTTTGGCCAAGATCGTTACATATTGCACGCATAGTTGGAAGCAGAGTTTCGCAGGCCATAGGGCTGAGCCTGGTAGTTCTCCATTGAGGCTTCGTACTCGGAGATCCGGAGACCCGTCGTGGGGGCTGATCGGCGACGAACGGAACACCCTTCAGGAGTAGATGTGACCACGAGATCCGTACCGAGTCGTGCAGGACGACTGGCCCGAGCTGGTCGGGTAGATCTATTGTGGGCAGTGGTTACCTGCTCGGTAGGTTGATTTTGAATCGAATCTAATAGAGCTAGGGTTTCAGCAAGCTTGGTGCCAACCCGATCGATGGAGTCGAGCAGGTCGGTGTTGTCGATCTGCCTCCCTTTGTAACGAGGAAGCGAGTGACGAGTTGTCGGCGTGACCGGAGACGATGCTGGTGTAGCCGGAGCCAGATCCAACGTGGTCGGAGCTGTAGCTGATGCCGGTGAAGCAGTGGTCGACGCAGATCGGATCCACGCCTCCTTCGTGGTCATGGCGATGAAGTTGTTGGAGCCAGTAGTCCAGGTGATCTGGCCGACGGTGAACGTGAGGCCGTTCGGCATAGCCATGGATCCAGGGATGATGACCATCTTGTTCTTCTGGGAAGCAGTACACACACCCCCTACCTGGCGCGCCACTGTCGATGAAATATGCTCGGCAGTCTACCCAGGGGTATGCCCAAGGTAGTAGATTATCGACAGACAGATGCGCAAGCTACAAACAAGATGGTGACGCAAGACAGACACGAGGTTTTATCCAGGTTCGGCCGCCGTGAAGGCGGAATACCTATGTCCTGCGTCTGATTGTATTGCTGTATGTCAATGAGAGATGTTTTTTAGAGGGGTCCCCTGCCCGCCTTATATAGTCTAGGGGGCAGGGTTACAGATCTGGAAACTAATCCTAACCAGTTACAATTGCCATAGGTGGCCGAATAAGGATTCCTATTCTAACCGACCAGGATCTTGCTTGATCTCCAAATCTGTCTTGATTCCTTGCGTGGAACTCCGAACAGATTGGTCGGGCTGCGCGTCGTCTTCTAGTGGGCCAGACCCCCTGGTTCGGGCCAGCCCAAGCCTAGCCGTAAGGGTATAGGGGTTAATACCCCCACAGTGCGCAGATTCTGGTGGAACGTTAATAGTTTGATCCCCATATGAATTGTTAAGAAAAACATATGTCATTACTAGAACAAAGGATTTTAGGAAACAATGACCTCTTCGATTAACAGGGGCGGATAGATCTAAGGACTACCTCCAAAAATGGTCTTGCGGCTATCATGGGTATGACTCGGCGGCAGTGATTAGTGATTCGATCAGTGGATCAATGCGTGTGACTTCGGTGGTTTAGCACTCAAGACAACACAAAGGATCTATCCTGGTTCGGGTGTCAAATCCCTACGTCCAGTAGTGGTTTCTTTATGTTAGAATGCTCAATCAAATTCTTACGATGGTGGAGAAAGAAAGAGAGATGGTAGGAGAGGGTTCGATTGGGTTTTGCTATCAATCTCCTTTACATGAGACTCATTCCTGCGTTATATATATCGGAGGGTGAGGAGAGTACAAGGAGATGTGATTCTTGAGATTTTCTAGGGTTTCGTGCCCTAATCTTTGGTTGGTGGCGGCGCCGGACACCGTCCCTTGTCGATGATCGTGGCATCTTCTGCTGGAGCCTAGAGCTGACCGTTAGAAGTTGGAGTAGTCATTATGCCTTGCCTAGGTTCGTCTTCCTTGTGGCGTTCGTTGCATGCTAAGGACGTGGCCACATGCAGAGAGAGGCTGACCTACGGGTGGGTGCGCTCTTGCGATGACCGCACGCTCATCCTAGTCACTTTACGTCATGCCCCATACGTGACCCTGTGCCAGTTGTGGCCGGCACAACCCCGCGGGGCACGAAGACAAAGCTTCGGCAGAGCCTGGCGCCCTGTAGCTCTACCCGCGTGTCAGGTTCAGGCATCTGGCAAATCACTAAAGCCCAAAAGAAGAAGGTCGCGGGTGAAGTTAGGAGATGGAGTGCACCACAAGAGGGGGGGATCAAATGCAATACTAATTACGCCTTCCATCCGAAGGCTTGTCAGGGAGCGACCGTTGTCGTGCTTCGTGATCAGGTGGGGAATTTTTAAATTGGATGAGCGAGGTGGCACCCATATGGGCTAAATATTTTTAATGTGGCTAGAAGCCCGAAGGACCGACCACAGCTCACAAAGATTTATTTTCGCTTGTTTTGAACAAGTGCAACCGCCAGGATTCAAACCCGTAACCTCTCGCCTCATGCAATCCATTTCCTACCACCACACCACACAGTCACTTTGCTTAGCTATATGATGCTGTCTACTTTTACTAATATATATGATTCTTGTAATAATATTTTGACTCGTAAACAATGTTAAATGAGAAAACTTTGAACTGCAAAGTTTTAGATATCGTCGAGCACTACAACTTCGATAAAGGACATTTCTCAATCGGTCATTTGAAAAATTCAAAAACTTAAAATTTTAAAACTGAGAACATAATATATATATATATTTTGGCCCTTAAACGATCTTGAATAAAAATTTCATCAACTACAAAGTTTTCGATCTCGTCGAGCTCTATAGTTTTGATATAAATTTTTTTCTTCATCCGACTTCATTTGAAAAAGTTATTATTTTACTTATGCTCTAGCTACTTTTAAGGGCGGTTGACTTAGATAACCATCTTTAAAAATCGATTTCTATGGTTGATTGACTTAAGTCATCCGTCTCTAAAATCATATATTTTTAGAGACGGTTGACATAAGAAACCATACCTGAAAATTATTTTTTTCAGAAGCGGTTCTCTTAAACAAATCATTTAAAAATAGATATATTTTTAGTGACAGTTCACTTAATAGAACTACTCCTAAAAAGATATTTCTAGGGTCGGTTTATAAGCTACAGTGCTCCCTGGGATAGTTACAAACAGTTTGCTAAGTAGACAATTTTTGAAAGAAATGAGGCGTCCCTAAAATTTATTTGAAAGAATTATCTATTTGGCACTGAAACAAATCAGTGTTTCGTATTTGGCACTCAAAAATTTGAATTTTCTTATCTGGCATCTAGTTGAAATTTGCTTTCGTAAATAGCACTACCGTCCATTTAGGACAGTAACGGTATCAAGTGACTGGCAAAATAACATAAATATCCTTGTTTACAGTAGAAACCCATGGTGCCAAATAGAGAAAGAATAAATAAATAGGTTCTCAAATAAAGAAATCATAAAAGGTTATTCTACAACAGTATGGCTTATTGCCACATTTTTACGGCGACTACATGTATCCATAAAGTTTTTCTTTTTCTTTCTGAGATCCCAAATGAAGTCTGGGAGAGAGATCAAATTTGAAGAAAGAAATGCAGTTCGAATATTTTTGGAAATGAAATGAAATCCTTGTCAAGCGCTTGGAGCCGCCCGGTGAACCATGCGTACGGCGTACCATCTTGATGCCGATGACGCTCCGGGACGTGGGATCGTCCCACACGAGCAGCAGTACCCGCACCCCCTCCTGCGACTTCCTCCTGAGCAGGTCGCCGAGCGCCATGCCCCCGTGGCCGTCGCGCACCAGGTGTATGGTGTGGAACACGGACCATCCGGTGATGTAGATGAGCCTCCGTGCCTGGGATATGACGTCGTAGACGTCGCGCCAGCACTGGCCGTGCTGGCCTGACCTCCGGCAGCGTCCCGTCGGGCACGTGCGCGTCCTGGTACAGCGTGACCTACAGCCTGTTTGTTTGGTTGGGCTGGATCGTTGCTGATTCGTGAAGAAGTATGGCTGGCTGGTTTGGTATGAGAGAAAAATATTATTTCGGCTGGAAATTTACGAGCAAGCCCAGCCAAACGATCAGGCTGTAGGTCCTGGGCACGCCGGCGAAGTCCGGGCCCGGGGTGACACCATGGTGGTACATGGTGAGCCTTGCCACGGGCACGTACTGCATTGACAGTCGGAGCACGACCCCCGGCGCGCACTCCTTGCCATTGCGCTCGAGTCCCCTACGAAGTCCCCTACGAAGTCGAAGCCCCGCGCACAGATACCCGCCGCCACGAGTCCGCAGCCATGCTGTCACATGCGCCTACACGCCGTATGCACCCAAACCCACGCCCTTGGCCGCGCAGCAGCCTGCCGAGATACCGCCAGCGCTACCTTGCTGCTCTCCCTCTCGCTCGTGGTTATACCTTTGCTCGCCGCGCCATGCGCTCGCCATTGCCGCGCTCAAGCTCCGCCACCGCATTAACAGCTGCTCGCATGGCCACATCCATCTCCGACGCCACCACCCCAGGCCGCGGCTCGTCGAGGAGCCTCGCTAGCCGGCTGCGGCGGCTCAGGCCACGCCCCCCCCCTCCCTAGGCCGCGGCTCGTCGAGCAGAGGCCAGGGGCGGCCTCCAGCAGGGTGGCCTGCTCGCGCTCCGGCCGTGGAGCCAGGGCAGCCTCGCACAGTGGCACAACAGAGCCGGAGAAGAAGGGGAAGAAGGTCGCGGGATCTGAAATTCTGGGGGCTCGGCCAAATTTCAGTCTTCTGTATCTAACAGAGGGATACATTGGACATAGGGAGAAAAAATTGATACGGTCAAACTAGTCAACTAACAGATGACCAATGAAAATGGACGGTAGTGTCATTTAAGAAAGAAAATTTTAACTTGATGCCAAATAGGAAAGTTCAAATTTTCGAGTGTCAAATACAAAACACTGATTTGTTTCAGTGCCAAATAGATAATTCTCCTAAATTATTTCTATACTAGTGTCATTTGCTGACTGAAGATAGTAATTCTGTTGCTTCTTGATTAATTGAAGCTCTATGTCGCAAAAAAAAATGACATGGATACATCATTCCAATTCTGTATCCGTAGTACAGATGCTCATATTAGTTAATTAATAAGGAACACATCAAGAGATGAGATGATTGGTATGCGAGAACAACACGGATCAAACATCTCCGATGAGTTTGGATAGAAACAAACTAAAACAATACGGGCAATGCAAGGAAAGAAAATGTATTGCAATTATATAACTTGCTTTTTAACAAGATCAAATCTTGATTATTGTCCACCACCTAAATAGAGTATTATAGCGTGTGTATCTCCAAATGGGATTTGGATGAAGCTAGTGAAGCTGCACGCGTACGTACATAGCTAGGCCCCATGCATATTGAAAAAGCGTGTTCTAGTGATAAGTGTGCGTGCTTGTGTTAGTCCCAAAGAAAAAAGATATCCAGCTCGTGGACAAAAACAACTAGTTGGCACTAAAATACAGTATGAGGAATGGCATCTTTCACATCATTTGCACAGCTGTTACATGGTAAGCTGATCCAACAAATATGGCATCAGTAATAGTACCCATTCAATTTTAAATTGGTTGATCTTATGGGAATTTTCATGATTACATCACACTAGTCCATGATTGAAGTATTATAACGAACTGACACCTCTTTCTTAGAAAAGGTTATGCTGCTTATATATGCATTAAAATTCAGTAATGCCGCATTTATACTCTATACGGTCTAGCGGATCTAGTCTAGGTTTAACACCATGATTTTTCTTGTGGTGGTAGAGTGTGTGTGCGCTTCTTACGTCGTTCAACCTCTTGCTGCTTTTGTTCCACAATGACATCAGTGAGATCACGGTCCAGAAGAGTTTATACAAAGGTAGGGAGGGAATTATAAACCCAAATAAGGTACTGATCTAGTCCGTTTTTAAGCCTGCTAAGGGTCTGTTCGGTTGTTCTGGAACGGAGCTAGGAACTATTTTAGCTTATCAACATTATATAAATTATTAGTGAACCATTCCAATTAGGAATTGTTTCAGGGACTCGAACCGAACGGGCCCTAAGTGAGAGCTAGCTCATGGGCACACACATTTCAGAACTTAGGATTATTACAGACATAACTGCAGAAACAAAGTGCATAGACAAAAGATATTTGACCATGAAAAATGACACCGTCGACTGGCGAACGATCGAAGGAGTCCTCCATTAGTGCAGCAGCTAAACTGTGAACATGTCGATTGCACAGCATGTAAACTGCCCAAACCCACAGCAATTGCGTGATCACTGTGGTCTCAGATTACAAATCGATCCCCAGTATTCTCCTTCTCAAGGAATGCACCAGCACTACAGCAGTACTGATTTTCTGGAATCTGCACTTCCTGTGTGGTAGAGCTAGGGCACCACCCCAGATTGCTCCTCAGCTTGAGACCCAAGCAATTTGACTCCCTCTGTGGCCCCGTTCCCTTCGCTGAAAAAATAAGTCGAAACACTGTTCTGGCTGATTTGTTGTGAGAGAAAAACATTGTTCCGGCTGATAAAACAAGCTGAAAAAGACGGATTATAAGAGAAACGAACAAGATTGGTAGATCTATCTCCTCAAGCACATACATTGTACGCTTTCATGCATGCATGGACCTTATAATTGATATATAGCGCTGATCAAGTGATTTGTGATCAGCGGGCCAGTTGAACGGTCAGCATGTCGATTGTTGATTGGCTGGTTTATGATGTCTGAACCTGTTGGTCATTAACAGCGAAATCGGGTTGCATGTATATGGACTCATGCAGTCATGCCATATGTTGCCGTACGACATATATACTGGGAGTAGATCAATACTACTCCTAATTCACTGAACCGACTAGCAGATTCCATCAGCAAATGATGATCACACGCATAAAGGGCAACTACTAGTTGGTACACCGGTGCAAGTAACTACAGGCTACAGCTACTACATACTGGGCCGGCCGGGGCATGGAAGTGTTCACCGAACCAATGCAACCAGAATGGCAGAATCCAATGCAAGGAACTCCATTAATTTCTGCTGAGAGAATTGCGATCATGTTGACAGTGTGGCATGGTACTTATTACGACACTACCACCGTACCACCAACGATTTGAAACAAGAAAGTGAGATTTGTGTACTTCATAATCAAGCAAAAAAAAAATCCTAAACACCCATATATTGATCGATGTCGCGGTCAACAAAGCAGTCATGAGAAGCGGGGAAAACGCGAAATGATGGAGACAAGCCATTCCGGGTCCCGGCCGCATCGATCGATCGTATTCGAATTCATTCGTAGCTGGATGTTTGTTGAGGCAGAAAACAGCAGGACGATCGATGCTGGGCCTACTACAGCCAGATGCCTGGTCGGATCACTGCAATAACGTGTGGACTTGGTCAAAAATGGACAATGTGTGAATCTCTTTGGGGTGATTTTGGTTAATTTCTCGGCATCACGATGCAGATTCATTAACTGTTTTTGTTGCGCCCTGAGGATATCCGTGTGGATTGGAGTGATTCACAAAAACGATGTGTGAACATACGTGGATAAGTGTTGCAATGTCAGTTTTCATGGTGTGGTAAAATGTGAAAGCTACCGTGTCTCCGAAATATATACACTTATGTTTCTCACTCATGTAAGGATCATTCCACTTTACATATATCTTCATACATACATTTGAACATGGTGAACAAGAATGTAAGCTAGTAGAAAAAACATTTTCTTAGTATTAATAATATTTTCTATTTTATAGATATATCTATCATATATTCATAGGAATTGTAAGTCAATGTACGTGTCAATGTCCTAATAAACCGTCTTATAGACCACATATATATAGACGTTGTCCCAGCAATTACTATTTCGTAGTCCAAAGATAAGCAGGCGATCGAATTTTCTACTGCATCACGAAAGGGAAACACAAGCCCGAGTTCCGACAAGCCCATCCATTTCCCGTGCCAGCAAACAGCCTCTGTTCGCTTGATCGGTTCTGTAGCTTATAAGCCGGTTGATACTGTTTTGTTGTGAGAGAAAAATACTATATCATAGCTGATAAACATGGCTGATATGATCAAGCCAACAGGGTTATAAACGAGCTGAGCAATCAGCCAAAGCCGAGGAGGGCAAGCGAATGACCCGGGGCGCGGCTCGCATCCCTATCGTCAATCCCTCTTTGCAGCCAGGATGCAATCATCAGCGATCCCGCTTGCATTGGCTACCTGCTACGCTATCCCATTTGCCATTTGGCAGCAGCCGGCGGGCCCGACGCCGGACAAGGACGGGGGCGCTAGCTGCTGGCACGCTGCCGCGTCTCGGCAAGGCAAGGGCCGGGCTTTCTTCGCTCAGCCGCGTTCGTTCGTTCGTCCGCGCCGCGCGTGCATGCACAGGGCCACAGGCACATCGATCCGCGCCGTGCTTCGGTCAACGCACGGACAGGCATTAAATTATTGGCGGCACGCCGGGAACGAAGGAAGGCGCCAACAAGGGCCCCAGCAGGCTCCATGATTGGAGGGGCCGCCGGGCAGGGATCGCGGGCGCCGCGTGCCATCTGGTGGATCTCGCGTCGTCCTGACAGCGAGAGGCTGCCATGTAGGCGTGCATGCGCGCAGTCGCAGCCTCGCAGGCTCGCCTCGGCGCCTCGCAGCAGCTATAGCCGTTTCGGCTCTCCTGCGTTGCCCGTGGAGTGACGGCTCCGTGCTCTCTTCCTTGCGGCAACCGGTTTTCGCGGTGCATCGATCGGCCTCCATCCAGGACCAGGACGACGACGACGACCCCGGCCGGTCGCCTTCCGATGGATCGTGCCATCGGGGAACCAGCGTGTCATGGGTAAGTAAGTTTTAACATTGTGCATCTGACTTAGATGGTATGCTAAGAGGACACGAGATTTATACTGATTCGGACGGAATGTCCCTACGTCCAGTTTGTTGCTGCAGCTCGTGTTACTAGTACTGAAAGTTCGTAGTAGGGGTTACAAATGGTCGAGAGAGACAGGTCCCAAGTCTCTAGTAAGAGAAGCGAACGGGTGCCGAGGACTCGGTCGTTTCTCGGCTGTGTACTTGCATGTTCTAATCGGTTCGGGGTTCGAGTCCGAATCGGTGTGGTGTGTTTCGATCTCAGTCGAGTCGAGTTGAGAGTCAAGTCCTGTTCATGGGACGCCCTGCTTTCTCTTTTATAGGCAAAAAAAAAGCACGGGTTACAGTCGAGGGAAAAGAGAAGAAGGAGAAGGAGAAGAAGCCCTCTATGATCGCCGGGTCCTTCTTTTCCTTCACGCGGGTCCCGCCGACCCTGTAGACGTCAACAGGGACAGCTTCACGTTGCGGCCCTGTCCGTCACTGGCGCCATGCGCAGGCGTCGTCTCCCGGTCATGGCGCTCCACTCCGTCCTGACGGACGTCGTGATGAACCGTCGCGCTTGTCAGTACCCGTACGAGGGTTAGGCAGAACAGCACTGGTACGCCCGACGCTGTTCCTGATGTGAATCCCCATGTATGGCCCGT